AGCTATTTCCTAAACACGAGCTGTCGACACCCGAGGGCATTTACGTCAATGCGAATATTCAAAGAGGGGATGGCACAATTGGAATTTACAAGATTCATGAGGCCTATAATGTCCTTTTAGCATATGCCAAGGGCATATCCGTCATTTCACTGTAAACTGGTGTGGACTCGAATGCGGTAGCCAATCACGTTTCTCCGCTGGCCATTTATCGCGTCATTTTTAGACAGCCCCTAAACCCTTCTCTCTCTATAAATGAAACACAAGGCGGGTGTGGGAGGAGAGAGAGAAACACAGCAGTCTTTTAGAGCTCGAGCTCTGCAACAATGGCGGGGCGTTCGCTTCTCTGTCTACTTTCCTTTCTATTACTGATCCAAAATCCGCTTGCAAAGGTCTTATTTGAAGAGAGATTTGATGGTAACTCCTTTTTCAAGCTCTTCATTTTCCATTTTCCATTTTCGAGCTGTTTGGTTAACTATGGGCCTTGGGACTTAGGTTTCACTGTTTTGGTTCTAGATTGTGTTGATCTTTTTGGTTTTGGTATTTATTTTGCTTGAAATGTACGGATCGGATTTGGATTTTCGTGGCTCCATGGAATTGGTGTCATTTGTTTTGGGCTTCTGGTTTAACTAAGGATGAGTTTTTGATGTAGGTATTCTGTGATTTTTCGTTTGTGGATGTGTAGGTATTCTGTGATTTTTCGTTTGTGGATGTTTTGATCTTGCTCGGCGTTATGTTTTTTAGCATGAAATGTGTAAATATGGTTGTTAGCATTTTTGCAGATGTTTTTTTGTTTGATTTTTATTCTTATGAGTGTTTGTTTTAATGGTTTTTCTCTGTGGATTCATTTGTAAGTTTATTGATCAGTATAACAAGAGATCAATCCATGAAGGGGACATTTTTTTTGGCTTATGATTCATGTGTTTTTTCTCGAATGTGGGAGTGTTTATTTGATTCATGGCTTAGTAAATTCAGATACACTTATATGTTTATACACTGTCATTACGCTATTGTTTTACCAATAAGCAATGCCGGTTGTTATTTTTGTGTTGTGGTCCTTGGATCCGATCCATTCTCATCATGAGAACTCAAACGATAGCTATAAGTAGCTTTTTCTCTGTGATATTGACTCCCTGGCTTGCTAACTGACCTCAAAGTTTGATCATTTTCCTCTTCGTTAAAAATGTTAAAAAAAAAGTTTGATCCTTTTCCTCTTTATAGGTTGCCACAAAATTTGTTCTCTCTGTTTTTTGATGCTACTATTAGACATCTTTGACAAATGTGTAAAACTCTCTAGTTGTGCTTACAATGTAGAAACCAGCAAGCAAAGGAACAAACTAGTGTATCCTCCATGACACAGATGTCTTTTGTCTTAGCCTTCTTGTCAAATTCAGGTAGCTCCTCCACTGTTAGAGGCCAAAAATGCTTTAGAGGCCCTCTAATCAGATTCTTAATGATTCTTCCATTCTAATTAGTCTAGAAAGGCCTTTATATTGTGAACTTTCTTTGTCATCAAAGATTATATTTACTGGATGGGCTTGGAGTCTTTTGCTGGCTTCCATGTAAGTTAAACTTTCGAAGTATAGCAATTTTCACCTCTAAACCATATGCTGGATTCTAGTGACTCCTGTAAAGCAAATTCTCCCCAATTCTTTGTCTAGTTTGCTGGCCTAATACCACAAATTAAGTGGAAGGATTGGACATATAACATTGTTATTGTTTCATTTACCAGTTCACCATCCTAGGAAAGGTGGCCTCATCAAGAAGACCCATTGACCTAATCCTTATAAATAAACAACTTTTTTGTCTGCAGGATTTCTTATGAAAGCACAAAAGAGGGAAAAGAAAAAAAAAGATTTTGTCAAGCATGTAAACATGCATATCTTGACATTTTTTATTGATACTTTCAAGTGTTAGATGCATATGTGGTAATTTTACATAAATATGCACAGACATGTGTGCGTTTGTTTTATACCAAGATTAGCAATTGGTTAGATAGTGTGGTTATATGGGGTTCAATGGAGCAGTTCCTTGCTGGTCCTTAGATGCCTTACAACCTACTTATCTTACTTTGAAGGTCATTTGTTATCTGATTGTCACTAAAGCTACTTGGGCAATACAGATTTGGATGCCCTTTATTGAGCCGATTGGCAATGTCAAACTAGTGATTACTTGATGTATTTTTCACACATTTCATCATTGTTTTCATTGGTGAAATTATAGATGGATGGGAGAAGCGATGGGTGGTTTCAGACTGGAAGAAAGATGAAAACATGTCTGGACAGTGGATACACACATCTGGGAAATGGACTGGAGATCCTAATGACAAGGGTACTTGATTCTGAACTCCTTTGTGAACTACTGTGAAGTTTACATAAGTATTTATGGCCCATTTCAGAACTGTGAGAATATATCATTGAGATTTGAAGCATTATTGATTTTTTTTTCTGCTCTTTTCTCACTATGATGAGTGTAAATGTCCTATTCTATGCAGGCATCCAAACCAGTGAAGACTACAGGTTCTTTGCCATCTCTGCAGAGTTTCCTGTGTTTAGTAACAAGGATAAAACCTTGGTTTTTCAATTCTCTGTGAAGCACGAGCAAAAGCTTGACTGTGGTGGGGGGTACATGAAGCTCCTCAGTGATGATGTTGATCAGAAGAAGTTTGGTGGTGAGACACCTTACAGGTACGTTTTAGGTCTATCCCTCACAATTATATGGTTGCATGCCTCCCGGGCATGGTGATTGAAGTATGTGCGATTGGAGGCAGTGTTTTAAATACAGAGAATTGGGTGCTGACCTGGGCAGCCAATGATCTGAGGTCCCCTTTTGACTCGGGCAAGTCCCTGAAATAATTTTATTATGAAAAACATGGAGACTCGGCGATTTCTGACTTGGGCAAGTCCCTGAAATAATTTTATTATGAAAAACATGGAGACTCGGCGATTTATGGGGTTATTTTGGCTTGGAATCTCCAGGCTCCTGGTCCTGTCCGACTCGGGCAAGTCCTGAATCAGACTGCTTGAACAATGATTGGAGGTGCCTTTGTTCTCCAGGAGAGATGGCATAGTGGGAATGATCTCATGAAATTTGAGTTCAGGAAAGGTTTAACTGCAGTTCAAGGAAAACATGAAGTGTTTTTGAAATATCTTATATTTTAATAAATTTTTAAACTTGTTTTGCATGAATAAATACTTAATGTTGTTTCTATAACGGTAAAATGAGAAATCGTCGTCTAATTTAGAATGAGACTTACTTACAAAAAATAAACACTATAATGAGAACCTACGAGCAGCTATAAAAAATTCTCGGATAGTTTATTTAGGTGCATGAAATTTAATCCTCAACCAAGTCGTATTTTGCAGTGGTTGGTGTGGTATGTAACCAAAAGTTCACATTTCAAGTTTTCATTCACAAGTTATAATTAGAGTTTATCAAACTTGTAAGTTTTCAATTGTAATATAAATGAATTTCTTATACAGTGAATTTTTTTTTTTTTGGTAGTTCAGTGGTAGGAATCGAACTTGAGATGTAGTGTTGCTTATGACAACTGCCAACCACTTAATCCCAAGCCTAATTCCTACTTAAGGTTCCTACTTAAAGTGACTTTATGTACACTGTGTTGCATAGTTTTATTCTTTTGTTTGGCACATATCAATCCTAATATAATTCTAATATATAACTAAAAATTCACATTTGAAGATCCCTTTTCCAAATCATACTAGAGTTTATCAAACTTGTACGTTTTCAATTTTAACATAAGCGTATTATTTATATTTCGACTTTACATACTACATGATATATAGTTCTATCTTTTTGTTTTGAATAGTACAGATTCTAATATAATTGCAGACTGCAGCATACACCAAAAATGAGAAAGCAAAATAGCAAATAAGAAGTCAGGTCATGTATCATGCAAGTAATAATTTGTGTCGTTGACTTGCAGCATCATGTTTGGACCAGATATTTGTGGGTACAGCACAAAGAAGGTTCATGCTATCCTCTCACGAAATGGAACTAACCATTTGATCAAGAAGGAGGTTCCTTGCGAAACTGACCAGCTTACCCATGCCTATACTTTCATCATCCGCCCTGATGCTACATACAGCATCCTTATTGACAATAATGAGAAACAAACCGGGAGTCTTTACTCAGATTGGGACATTCTCCCACCTAAGAAGATCAAGGACCCCGAGGCCAAAAAGGTAATCATTTTAAATCTAATGAACTAGGACAGAATCATCCATCGGGCATCATTCCTTTCATTGAATTGGACGGGTGATGGATAGAGACAGGCACCTATCATTTGGGTCATGTCTTGCTCGGGTGGGTTTGTTTCTTATGTCCATCAACATTTGGCACCATCCATTCAATGAATGGTTGGTTTTGATCCTAATGGGCCATTCTTTCCATTCCATTGCCTTATACTGAGTTTTTCTTTACTCTAATTTGACTGGTTCTTTCAAAATCGAGAAATTTGGGTAAAAAACTAATATGATATATTACAGCCAGAAGATTGGGATGACAAGGAGTACATACCTGATCCAGAAGATAAGAAGCCAGAGGTATGCTTCTTTTACCACATTTGTGTAGATTATTAATTGTAATTTTGACTCTTGATATTTAAAAAGTGGGTACATTGCCAACCACATTTATGATCATGGCTTGGTCACTGTTTTCCTTTTGAAAGGTGATATGTATAACTCACTTTTGGGGGTATGTTACTTGGTCTTTTTGAATAACTAATAACTGGTTTCTGTTCTAAAACTACAATTTCGTAACCAATATGTTATAAAATCTTATTATTGGAATCCCATTCTGAGTACTGTTTAGAATCATTGAATTTTTCACAAAAATCAATAGAAAATAGGAAATGTTAATTATGATTTGGGCACGGCTTATAATTAACATTTCCTATTTTCTATTGATTTTTGTTAGGTATGATGGCTTCTTTCTATTTAAATAAGTGGTGGTTCCAACTATGCAAATCTGCTTGCTTACAAATCTAATGATTTTAAGTTTTCCAATTCTTGTTTTGTGGCCTAACTCGTTTTGTGGTCTATGAAGGGCTATGATGACATTCCCAAGGAGATAGTGGATTCAGAAGCACAGAAGGTATATTATAAACTCCTGATTCAATAAAAACAAAAAAAAGTGTGAAAGAAACAGTCAGAAACAAAACCTGTAATAATCCTGGTTACATTAAAGATTTCAGACCCAAGTCTCAGATAGTTTTGACTGTGCTGGCACTTTGCAAATGTACTCCTGTTACATTCCAAAATCAGTTACATTCCAAAATCTTGGTTTTACTTATACCATTTGTATAATTGCAGCCTGAAGACTGGGATGACGAGGAAGATGGTGAATGGAAAGCCCCAATGATCCCTAACCCTGAATATAAGGGACCATGGAAGCCAAAGGTTTGTGGAGGTCTAATACTATCATTTTTTATTTGTTTTTTGTTTTGGGGAATTCAATGGGGAAGATAGGCCGTAACCGTTTTTTCAAGTAGATTAGGAGTTAGCTTTTTGAAGGTATTAGTGGGTGGTGTTGGTGGTGGGCATGGAAACCCCAATGTGTTTTGACTAGGATGCGGGGTGCTACCACCGTGCCCCCAGCCCCTTCCCTCTAATACTATAATTTCCTATAATCATTTTGCAAATAAAGATAACTTCGGATGACCAAATTCTGTGATAACAGAAAATAAAGAACCCCAACTACCAAGGAAAATGGAAGGCACCCATGATTGACAATCCAGGTTTGATCTAATGTTGGATAGGTTTATCTTGTTTATCATATCATCATTTTTGTTATTGATTATTATTATTGTTTTTTATCATTACTACTGCTACAACTTACGTTGCCTTTTCTTGCTCTGATTACTACTATGCAACATGTACCTTGATCTACAGATTTCAAGGATGATCCTGAAATCTATGTCTACCCCAATCTCAAATATGTTGCTATTGAGTTGTGGCAGGTAGCCATGGAACCGTTACTGTTCATTTGTCCAACACTATCTATGTATCATTGCTCCAATGAAAGCCTTTCATCCTATACTATAATCTAATGAACTATGAGAAATTATAGGCCATTGTAATCGTCACTGTCCTATGGTGGTGGTGGTAATGGACAGAGTGGGACTCACCAGGTTCATTTCCTGTTCTGGTTGGTCTCACTTTCTTTCCCGGTCCCTCCATCACCGTGTGCCATTACATTGGATGGTAATGACCCCACTGGACTACTGTTTCAGTGTTTACTATTTATAGGAGTTTATTGGAGCAACTATCCTTAGGATAATATTATTCTTTCCCTTTGTGCTTCTTCTCTTGTTTTTTGTGTTTTCTACAAGCCTTCATTTTTTTTAGTTAGAGGGAGAATGTCTTCAATTCTTTGGATTTCACAGATTTGTTTTAAGGTTACTTTTGTTTCTAATATATTTTTGTTTCTAATCTTAGGTCAAGTCGGGAACCCTTTTCGACAATGTTTTGGTATGTGATGATCCCGAGTATGCGAAGAAGTTGGTTGAGGAAACATGGGGAAAGCAAAAAGATGTATGAAACTTCCTCGTCATTTCTTTTTGACGTTTTTTTCTGCTCATACTACTTAGTGGTAATCAATTTTATGGTTCTGGATTATTAGGCTGAAAAAGCGGCTTTTGATGAGGAAGAGAAGAGAAAGGAAGAAGAGGTATGTGTTTCACTGCATTCAATTAGTCTCTCTCTCTCTCTCTTTCTCTCTCTCTATTTCTCTCTCTCACTATGGGTCCTCAATCTCTCACAGGAAGCAAAGGCAGCTGAAGCTGAAGGATCGGATGTAAGTCCCTAAATGAAGCACACTCATTTTCCTCTCTCTTTTGGAATGGATTATGTTTTGTAGTACATTTAAGTGCATGCACTACCTTTGTATCTTCCTTTTTTGAGTTTTTTGAGCGAAGTACTTATTTTGCAAAAAACTGATAAAAGAAGCCCATGCTAATTTGGTGTTAATAATTTTGCTTACCTTGTATCATGTTTGTTTCTGCGAAGGATGAGAAAGAGGATGATGCAGATGCAGATGCTGATGCTGATGACGAAGAAGAAGAGGCAAAACATGTAATTTCTCTCTCCCCCTCAGAGATTACAAAAGCTGTTTCAACTTTGAAATATTATGCAAGAGTTTCTACCTGCACTAGTTATTTTAAACCCACCTGACTTTTTCGAAAGAGAGTGATGATCAATTTTTATGCTTCCATCTTTCCTGGCCTATCATCTGTTTTTTTTTTGTTTTACTTCAGATTGAACTGTTAAAGAGTTTGTCCCTTTGTATTTTTTGCATCCATGTTTTTCTCATTGTGTGTTTTCTTCTTTTGCAGGATGAATTATAGAATGTTTGGCACTTTTGAATCGTGCCGGACAATTTTAGGATAACTCTTAGCTATTTTGATTCTTGACAAATGCTGTTTCTAATATTTCTCCCTCCATGTAAAGTGGGAGACTGTGTAAGTTCTTATCATCATGGGATTTTGAGCTCCTTTGGACCATAAGCATCTTGAGCGTGCCCAAATTGTTCTCTCTCTCTCTAGAAATTGGGGCCTTTTATCCGTTTTCCTCGTGCACTTTTTAACTATTATAGTGAGGCAACAAAAGAACACAATGTTTTCATGAATAAGGGAAAAATCTGATGATGGCAAGGTCATATATCGCATTTAGTAGTGAAAGAAATCTTAAAAATATGCATGTATATGTTGGCCAAGAGAGCATTGGCCCTGGATCCTCTCTCTTGACGAGGGTAAATTCTCTCTCTGCCCTCTCAGTAATGGACGAGATGGGGTCTATGTTCCGAATTCCTCTCTCTTGATGGTTATGTTGGTACATCTGAGAAAAAATTTGTATACGTTAAATTTGACATGTTATTTTTCCGGGTAAATTCAGTAATATTCTTCTGACTTTTTGAAATAAAAAGACTTCCTGAATCTTTTTTGTAATTTTCACCTCTTACCTTTTTCTCCACTTTTTAAATTGCCTCTGCTACTAATTGTCAGATTCGTAGCGTTCTAGTGGCGCATCTCCAGTATGGTGTATACGCACCATTTAGGAGCTTTCTGAAATCTAGCAAGTACTGGAATGGTGCTTGCACGAATACAAACCTAGTGGACACCGCTAAAAAGTTCATAGCCCGTTTCAGTAAGGGCATTTTAGTTGGTGTAAAAGCCAAAAGATATCCTACTCTAGTGGATGTATACTGTTTGTTTACTCGGGTAAAATTGCACTTGGGATTAGTTGCTGGACCCCAGATTTAGGGGATAGGATCTTTTAACACAGATTGACTTCAATAAAAAAATTTCTTAATTGCACCCTCTAAGCACTAGAAAAAAATAATGTCCTAAGATTTAGAGGGTGAGATCTAAGTTTAGAAAACTCTAAATTTCATTTTTTGAGAATAATTATCTAATGATTTTTAGGTGGTTACCAAAATTTCGGAGATTGAAAAAATTGCTGTGTACCTATATTATTAAAAAAATACATTTCTGTTATTAGAAAAAGGAGGATATTACTTGAAAATTTCCTCTGCTTTATGCTTTGCCATATTATTATGAGTTTTTTGGACTTTGTGTGGGAGGGAGAGAGTACTATGGTAGAGTGTTATTAAGACTCAACGCCCATCCAAAGGGTTGAGATAATAGAGATAGTGGAGAGAGGCATATAAGATCCATGGAGAAGGGGTTGAGATAATAGAGATAGTGGAGAGAGGCATATAAGATCCATGGAGAAGAGATTGAGAGCGTATGGTTACGGTTTTTAGCAGGGAGGATAAATGAGAGAGAAAAGTTCCTCCATTTCACAATGGAAGAGATGAGACAGAGAGCCTCTTTAAAAGAGGGAGTAGAGATGAGAGACAAGTTCCTCCTGATTCAAAATGGGCACTAAATAAAAAAGAAAAAGAAATGATTCAAAATGGGCACTAAAAAAGAAAAAAAATGAAAAAGGAACTCGCAGCTGTTTGGATGGGGTTAAGTGCAGCCAAGACCGTAATAGTTCTAACCAAATGTATATAATGAAAATTTCTCGAATATTGACTATTAGATTCGAGAAAAAATTATGTTATTTTAAAAAATGTCATATTAAAAGCATGTGATTACCAAATTAAGAATCAAAGGTACACAAAAGGTTTGACAAGTTCATATGTGCTATATATTTAAACTTAAATTATATATTACTAATTGCATCACATTTTACTAAAGTAAAACATGTAGGTATAGAAAATAAAACAAAATTTAAAATTAGCAATCCAAAACGTTATTTTTGTGGTGAACGATTCACCCCACCAATTAACACTTACTATTATTATTTGTGTGATTATGTAACTCATGATTTATTATTATTATATTGTAGACTTCCTTTCAAGTTTAATTTTAACCCTAAGTTCTAATACCCTAGATCAAACTATACTATAGATTGGGAAATTTTTAAAGTTTCCCATATTGTAGACTTCCTTTTAGAGTGAATTCTAATACCCTAGATCATTCAGAATTTTAACTATTATTCTAATACCGAAGAAGGGCATTTGGGAAGTTTTTGAAGTTCATTATGAAGAAGTATCTAATTGATAAGGAAATTTAAAAACACACCCTCAAGGGAAAGTTGTAACCCTTTTATTGATATTATAAGAGGTTTCTATGTTCTTCTTTTTTTTTTATTCCCCTACAAATTAACTGACACCCTAATTCCAGATAATATAATATTTAAATTAAAAGTAAACTATGGAATTAGATTTGAGCCAATGAGTACGATCTTTCTTAATCTGAACCATTTGAAGATATGGACGGGAGGTTTTCTTATGTAATTAGGGGTTTTTAATTGTTTTCATTGTATTATGTCTAGGAAATATAAATTTAGGTTTAGGTTTTTAGGTTTCAGCTATTTTTGTCTTTTTTGTTGAAAAGATCTAAGGGGAAGAATCAAAAGATTTAATAGCATTTACGTTATCTTATATAGCGAATTAAATTTAGAGTTAACTTTTTTAAAAAGAGAATAGTAGGAAGAAGAATCTTTTGGGTTTGTGAAATGATACTTTAAGAATGGGCTACCTTACTAACATTGGGAGATGATGTAATATCTTAATCTTTTTTATTTTATTTTATGGGATAGTATATTATGAGATCATTTACCTTTGAAATAGGGAGGTCATCATTACTTACAACCATTTGATGTGAAATCTGATAGTTCGGATATGTCACAAAGTTTGAGAAAAATTCGTTTGAACTTTGTTTTTGGTCAATAAAATAAATGCAGCCATCTAATTTCACATCCAACAGTCAAGAATTATTGTGACCACCTTATAATAAGGTAAATGGTCTCATCATATACTTTTCTTCATTTTATTATTTTAAATATTTATTTTCTTTTCCCTTCATCTATGCTCTAGGTGGTATCAGAGCTTTATAAAATCCATTTATCACAATGTGCCCAAAACCTACTCCTACGACCGGTGCTCTATTGCTACGACCGGTGCTCTATGGAGAAGGGGAGGGAAAATAATAAATAAAAAAATAACAAGGAAATAATGAATGAATAAGAGAATATACTCTCTTAGGATCTCTATAACCAAAAGAGAAGCCCAAACCTAAAATCCATAAAACAATAAAATAAAAATATTTAAAAAACCCATTACATCATTCTTTTGGGGTTGAAAAAAACTTAACTTTGAGCTTATTGAATTCATCATATCCTTTAGAGGGTATTCTAATAATTGGTGATGGAGTACCACCATTTACTTGGGTTCCTTGTCTTCTTCAATTAAACAATTGATCAAACATTTGATATCCAGTAGTAGATCTCTCAAATACTCAACTTAATCTTGATTTCTCCTTTTGATTTCTCCTTGGAGCTTAAAGGGTGGTATTTAACATAATACGGTCAGCGGATCTTCTATTTCATAATTAATAATTGAAATGTATAGCATTTTTTTGTTATTCACATTTTTTACAATAAGATTTACCTCTTTATGTTACAATCTACTAAGTAGATCTTTTAGACTTTGTTGTATTACTTTACCAAAGTCTTCTTTGGTCTCCCAAATATTTGATCCAATCAATCCAAACGCTTCATGATTGGATCGGTTGATGTTTGTAATGGTATAATACAACTCAATACTCTAATACCAATTAATGGAGAAAAGCTTAGATAACACTTGATGTAGGGAGCAGGGGACGAAAATTAATAAATCAGAACATTACAAAGGAAAACAATAAAAGAAAGAGAGAATATACCCTCTTAGGATCCGTAAGGGAATCCACCACAAATGATCTTTCACAAGATTCAAAATAAACTTTTGTTTCTTCTATTTCTATTTTGTTCTGGAAGAAAAGAAACCTAAAATCTAATTTGCTCCTTAAGAAACCCTAATGATATCCTAGTATTTCATGTTTTTTCTATAAATAAAAAACTTTCAATTCTATCCCTCAATTATTTATTGCAAAAATAAAAAATAAAAACCCTTAAGAAAACTAAAAAGCCAAAATAACCCCAAACCTAAAATCCATTAAACATACTAAAAAAAACCCGTACATAATTTTTTCGAGGTTGGGAGAAACTTGATCTTGAGCTTCTTGAATTCATCTTATACTTTCGAGATCATCTCAGTAATTGGTGATGTAAGTACCACTATTTGCTTGGGTCGCTTGTCTTCTTCAATTGAACAATTAATCATATCCAGCATGTAGTGTACCACTCAATTACCCAACTTAATCTTGATTATAAATAGCAAAAAAAATAATATATATTTGAATTTGATGCAATTTTTATAAGGCCTAAGCTTTATGAAAACAAAGTAACGCCTCACATTGAATCCTTGTCTGAAAAACACTTGGGCATCAAAATCTATATCATGGCTTTAAAATCAATTTTCAAACACCCATTATGAAATTTGAAGGTCAAAACTAATATAGACCTTGCGGATCCATAAACACTAAATTTTTAGGGCAAAATGAATGGTTTAGATAATGTGGTACAACATTCACTATTTTAAGGCTTGAAATCTTCATATTTTATTTATTTATTTTTATAGAAACATGGTCAAGGCCGAGATGATTGATTTAAAGATTAACCATGCAAGAACCATAATTATCAATGAGTTTTGAGTGAGGCTTTATTTGTTGGGAAAAATTTATATAGAGCCGAGGCTCTAAACAATCACATTCAAGCATACCTCAAAAATTTTACTAGAAGAGGTTGTTTTGATACACAAATATCCTCAAATTCATCATCTCGACATCAAGATGCATGGACATGAGAAAAAAATGGATTTCAAGTTTTGGAAATAGTGTGTTTTGTAACTCACTTTTCAATCGTCAATTTTCAAGATTTTCAAGAGTACATTATTTTTTAAGCTTTAAACTTTATAAATAAAGATGAAAATATATTTTAAGGCTAACAAAAAGATTTTTAGTAATGAAATCAGTGTTTTAAAAAACGACGAGTCAAACCGGACGAGTTTTAAAAAACAACCGGTTCGACTTCCAGCACAAAACCGGGAACCGTCCGGTTCTAGAGTAGAACCAACGGTTCCTATCCGGTTTAGTCCAGTTCACACACGTAACGCATGACATGCATGTGCTAGCGTGCCCCACGCACACTCACACGTGTACACATGTGTCCGAGCGCATGTGCGAGCGTGCCCCATGCACACTCACACGTGTACACGTGTGTCCGAGTGCACGTGCAAGCGTGCCCCACGCACACTCACACGTGCACACGTGTGTCCGAGCGCACGTGCAAGCGTGCCCCACGCACACTCACATGTGCACATGTGTATCCGAGCACACATACGAGCGTGCCCCACGCACACTCACATGTGCACACATGTGTCCGATCGCACATGCGAGCGTGCCCCACGCACACTCACACGTGCACACGTGTGTCCGAGCACACGTGCAAGCGTGCCCCACGCACACTCACACGTGCACACGTGTGTCCGAG